GTGTGTGTGTGTGTGTGTGTGTGTGTGTGTGTGTGTGTGTGTGTGTGTGTGCGTATGCACCTGTGTATCAAAAAAGATTATCCTAGCGATCTCTTGACGAAGAAACAGTAGCTGCCGAAATCTATAATGCTGTTACAAAAGATGAAAAAACAAAACAATCAAAACAAAAGAAAAGCAGTTTAAAAATAATCCGTCAGCTGGATGGACTGACACACAGGGAGACAAAATCGAGAAACAGTAGATCTAATGTAGACAGACTGTTTTACCTTACAGACAGACAGACAGACAGACAGACAGACAGACAGACGGACAGACAGACGGACAGACGGACGGACAGACAGACATACAGACAGACGGACGGACAGACAGACAGACAGACAGACAGACGGTCAGACAGACGGTCGGACAGACAGACATACAGACAGACAGACGGACGGACAGACAGACAGACAGACAGACGGACGGACAGACACACAGACAGATAGGTATATACCGACCCCTGAAAGCTGAAATGTTGAAATGAACACCACCATGCACTGATGTCAAAACAAGAAACACGACTTACAAGACTTCAGTATAGATTGATTGATTTAACTAATCAAATGAATTATAGAAGCGAATGGGCGGGATTTGAATCATTACTGACAAACAGACGGATGGAGAGACAGACAGACTGAAAGAGAAACAGACACACAGGCAGGCAGACAGACAGACCGGCATACAGAACAAACGAGGAAAAAGATCCCGGACCAACTACATGTATGTAGTGCGCCCCCCAACCGCCCTCGATGTAGAGACTATTATAGTTGAACACCCTAAAGTGATGCTTGCAATAGAGACACTCAGCTAAATTCATTTTTAAGCATTTTACATCGCTTTCAACACAATTAAGTCGTATAAGTGCAGGAGATTTTATGTGTAACAAACACAAAAAAAAGAAGGCGGAGAGATATGAACTATGGATGGTTGAAAGGAAAGACGGAGCAAACCGCACCAGAGCACCCACCAACTGCCCGCAAAACGCATTCATCTTCTACCAAAATTAGTGCCGAGTGATACAGACACATCAACGTTCCCACAGTTTCCGACGTTTTAAGATTTCTCATAAAACTATTTTTAAAAAAGATTTTTCCTTTTATATTTATTCTCACAGAGTAAAATCTGTTATATTATAAAAGAAGAAGAGGCGGCGAACAATTCCAATTCGAAAGATAAAACAGGTTACAGGGGGGAAAAAACACAGGTAACGGGCACTGACACACGTGTAAAAGAAAAACAACTAACAAAAAATAGGTGTGCTGACAAATCAAAAACAAAACAGACGTAATCAAACATTCATGTTTTCTACTATGAAAATGCATTTGCTAAGAAAGTCAGAACGAATTTGAACAGAAAAATAAAACAAGAAAAATTAATAGATAACAACAAGGGATAAAAAAAAGAAAAAAAGGAAAGAAAATTGATGGCCGCACTTTTATTGACATGTATTATTTCCTCCACTTATCCAGTCTAATATTCCAGTCTTACCTCTGTGCGATATGGTATATTATATTCTTACAGTCCAATCTCCAAAGACATAACTCCCCGAAGAAGGGACACAATCGCGGGCGACACTAGCCTAGCACACGACTCCGCCGTTCCGACTTGTAGATCTCGCTACATACACGATCCCCACCACCGGATGTGCACCGCGCGCGCGCGCGCATAACTCGCGGTAGGCGGCGAGAGTGGGAGGGAGAGAGAGCAGCAGACGGCGACACCAACGGTTGTTGTAGGGAGAGCGCGCAAGCTAGCGGGGTGCAGAAAATAAACATGGCCGCTGAGGCGACGATGAGATTCTGGTGGTGGTGGTGGCGCTCTTCAGACGGAGAGGTGGAAGGAGGGAGCCAGGAGAGGTGAAAGTGATGGAGGGAGAGGAGGAAGGATGCGCTTATGTGCGTGCGGTGAGGTGTGGTGAGGTGCGGTGTGAGGCAATGCGATGCGCGTACGACGAAGCAATGCGATGCGCGTACGACGAAGCAACAACGTGGCATTTTCAATTTTCAGAGTTGTAACAATTGTTTGATCCAAAAGAACAGAAGGGAGGGTTTGACATTAAAATTTTATTCGGCGACAAGACGTGTTCATTGATATAAGTATTATATAAGCTCCGCAAAAGCTCCGATAATCATGTCTTTGACTTGAGTCAAGTAAATTAATGCCATAGCATCACACCATGAGCTGCAGATCTATACTGTTTTACGATGACAATGACACTTATAATGGCAATGGCAATCCTTATTCATCTCGCACGGAGAAGTTTGTCCTCATCGAGTACAATGACAGTTGTGCTACCTAGTTCATGTGCGTTCACGGACACACCCAAAGACAAAATCTATGACAAAATAATAAAAGTATAACGTGTTGAAACACCATCTCAGTTCCATAATATTATATAGCATTCTCTCTCTCTCTCTCTCTCTCTCTCTCTCTCTCTCTCTCTTCCAGTTTCATCTATAGTACTGTGTGTTCAGAGACCCCGGCGCAGTTGGTAAGAATAAATGTATGTATCTGCCAGACCCTGCACTCACGGGCTTTACCTCGGGTTGATCATTGCAATTCCGACGTCCAGAGCTATGTCAACTCACCAATATTTTCTCTTTGTTTTGACCATTTTCTTGCTCAGAGATTCAAAATCATTGAGACCTCTATCAAAAGACCTTGAAGCCTTTCTGAATAACGTATTTATTTATTGATGAACTGTTCAAATTGCTGCTATTTACCAACATTTAACAAACTTTCCACTGTGGAGATAGACAACATCATTTGGATGATGGATGTATTCAAATTGAAAGACCAAATTTTTGTTAGAAAGTGCAGCCTTTGATTTAACCTTTTACCAATTTTATTTATTGTTCTCTTAATTATGCCAAGTCAATTTAATGCCGATGGTAATATCAAGATATTTGTAAGAAATCGTGTTTTAATTAAATTTGCTATCGAAATTATTTTTATTTTAATGAATGAAAAGAAAAAGGGAGAGAAAACTCCGTTCATTCACTACGTCTGTGCACGGTTCACTTCTATATAAGCAAATGACTTGCACACAAGGAAAAACAAAAAAAAACAAAAAAAACAAAACAAACAACAACAACAAAACAAACAACCCCCCCAAAAAAAACAAACAACTAACAACCAACCAAACAAAAACATTGCAATTTCCAAGAGATACTTTTTCTTATCGTGGATAATTAAGAACAGCTACCCGCGCTGCTGACAGCCGAAAGGTCCACAGACCCGTGCATGGAGATCATCAAGAGACACATACAGCCATAATTGTTATAGACGAAGACATTCCTGAGACATGCTCTTTTACATCCAGGCTGTAGAAAAAGTTTAACCCCAAACAGAAAGACTGAAGTATTAGTTTGAGTAAGAGTTTTACAGTACATCCAATACAATAAGGTCAAATGGTCGCTTTAAGCACAAGGGGGCTCTCCCGAAATATGTTGTTTTGGGGAAATGGAAGGTAAAGTTTTTGCCCCTTATTCAGTTTCTAAAAAAAGACTAGTCGAGTTTTCTCTATAACAAACAAATATACACACCAATGAAACCAAACTTCTCCTATAGGTAGGGAAATGCCCACTTTTGGAGTAGGTCCAGATTCCTGGAAACCCCCGAACCCTGGGTTAGCCCTTGTGTCCTTAAAACGACCATAAAAGTGCCGAAGATTAGAGGTGTGTACACAAAAAGAACTAGGAGTGATAAGGACAATATATGTTTGATAGGAAAGAAGAAGCCAACCACACAAGAGCATCGACCAAACACACACTTACCGGTTTGTATGAATCACAGAGCGTCCATGCACGTTAAGTCGGAAAGTCTGCCTATCCTATAGGAGTCTGTGGAAAGGTAGTAAAAGGACAACCATTAGGCCTTTGGGATAACAGCAACATGCTTCTTGGTATGAGTAAAAGTGTTGCACTAGATAGATAGATAGATAGATAGATAGATAGATAGATAGATAGATAGATAGATATATAGTTAGTTAGATAGATAGATAGTTAGTTAGATAGATAGTTAGATAGATAGATAGATAGATAGATAGATAGATAGATAGTTAGTTAGATAGT